GTTACACTAAACATGTTTATGGATATTTTTTTATTTATAGACCACAAAATTGCCGTTCAGACGGAGGTAATTGTAATCACTTTAGAAACGCAGAAACCAAAGTGTCACGAGGAAATTATGACTTGCTGAAGATCACTTTCCAGAATATTCATAGTACTGTACTGCCTTCATGATTGTGCCTAAGTGTTAATTTTGGAGTTGTGACACTGTCTTCTGCTGTAAAGCCAGCAGAGGGAGCGTGTGTATAAGGCAAGAGAAACATCCAGCACTAAAATGTGCGGGTGACATCATAGCTGGTCAGGGAGTAGAGGCCAGCAAATATTTTCCACGTTAATTTCATACTGCTATAAGCCAGGCTCAGGGGGGGTTGCTGTAATAACTGTTAGAGGGAAATAAACTCTATTTAAAGTTTCAAAATTTAAATCTTACCTCAGAGATTCTTGATAACACTCAAAAAGGATCATAGAGTAAAAAGAAAAATATTAAAAGTGCCAAGCTACTTGATGTTGTTCTTTGAAATACTTGTGGAAATTTCTGTTCACTGTAAAAAAGCCGATGTTTTGCACATCCCTTAAGGACTCAAATATAATGGATGATTACACTTACTAATAGTCTCTGATTATTCTGATCTGGGAAGTGAAGGTGCTGTAAAATACAGTCTGCTTGTGCAATTAAATAATGATTAAATGCAAGTAAAGGATTGTTATAACTAGTTTCTAGAAAGACACATCTAGCATTATTTTTAATAGGACATTATGTTACCATTCACAAGTGGTATGTCTCAGAATATATATCATAATTTCTTTTTTTATGTAATATCCATTTGGGTTTTATTGTGTTAACCCTTTTTTATTTTTTAAGTCCAAAAATAATACTAGGGGAATAAAAAAGCTTAAGTGTTCAACTAAAACTTGAGTGAATTACGGTAGAGGATTAAATCACTGCATTATTCTTGTAACTCTTCTACTTCTGACTATCATTGGTCTTTTTTCTGATCCTTCTCTTGCTTATTGAGAGATGCATATCAGATGGTGCAGCTTTTCCAATGACTAGCAAATGAAGGTGAGCTTTTCTGTTTGTCTTGTTTGTTGCTCAAGGTTAAGCTTTCTGGTCATTGTAGCATACGTGCTATAAAAAAGTGCAGTTAAACTTTTAACATCACTGTAAACCAGTCATGTTTCACGTGCTGAAAGCTTTCAGTGTAGTAACTTACCAATCCTATGTATGCCAAGATTATGTTGTAAAAAAAAAAAAGAAGAACTTCTGTCTGGTATTGAATTGAACGACTTTTAGCAGTGTCGTACATTTGAGCTTTTTGTTTGTTTTCTTTTTTTTTTTTATTTTATTTTTTTAATTTTTTTTAGGTGGTTTTGGTGTAGCAAAGAACCTGTGTTCCTGGGCTGTAGATGGGAAGAACTGTACTGTCAATGAGCATGTGAACGCCACACTCCAAGCTTTCCACAGTGCTAAAAAGCCCATTGGTTTGTGCTGCATATCGCCAGTTCTGGCAGCTAAAGTCTTTCCTGGTTGTGAGGTTACAGTTGGCCAAGATAAAGATGTAGATGGAAGGTAAGAAGGAAATGGATAGAGATAATTTACATGGGAATTCAGATTAGGAAATGGCCAGTCTTCTGTGCAGAGGTCTGAGGTCTCTGGTGCCAGTAAACCTTGGGTATCTTCTGAGTGACATTTTTCACTTACTTGTAATTTTCACTTGCATAATAGTTCTTTAAAATGTGCAGAGCTCTCAGGGGAGACAGACTGAATCTGTGAGGTCAGGTGACTTGTACACTACAACATTGGAACAGATTATCCCTAAATTCAGAAATACATTGGTCTGTGATATCCAGAATCACAGAATTGTTTAGGTTGAAAAAGACCTTTAAGATCATTGAGTCCAACCGTTAACCGACATCCACAGGCACACTACAATTAGTAGTTTGACGACTCTAGGTAGAGTTATCTCTTGCATAAGCTGTCGCTCTGTGAGCCACTGAAAGTAAGGTATGTTCCTGTGCTGGCTTTGTTGTGCAGTGTGGACATTAATGAGTCAGTGGATGTAGCATCTGCCCTAAAAGTGATAGAACAAAGCGACTTTCATGGAATCATAGCTGCGCAAACATGCACATGACCAAGGATATGAAGTAATTTTTTCCCCATTGTATTAATGGTAACTGAGTGATGGATTTTAGCTCATGTGGAGAGAGGTACAGAATGTGCTTACCCAATGCCTTTGAAGGCCATGATTCATATTGCAAATGTGGGAATGAAGAACAGGCAGGTGGCCAGCTGGCATTCAGAAACTTGGCTCCCTGTGGTAACTGGAGTGTCCATTTAAATTATGTCTGTGGGATTTTGTCTGCTCAGGGATTTTTAGTTTTTCAGTTGGTAGTGGTTTAGGACCAGTTTAGCGGAGGCAGTTGAGAACAGGACCTGGCAGAAGTATGTGCTGGTTCAAGAACTGTCAACTCCAGTAAAACTTCTGAATGGAATTTCATCTCAGCAGCAGTACTGAGGGATTGCCTCTGCTCCTCCCTTATCCTTAGGGTTAAAAAAACCCCAGCAAAATTCTGCAGCATCCCACCTTACATGGAGGTGTTGGAAAAGGTCTAAAGTGTCTGCAAGTTCAGCTGGCATCTCTCAGACTTTTGAGGATCAGTTACAATCATTCGGTATCATCTTGTAAACTTACTGAAAGATTGTTAAAAACAGAATTACATCTTCTGCCATAATGTGGCTTTGCATTTTTGACCTTGTTTTCAAAGCTATCAGTTGATCTGTTTTGTCCGTAAGGGCTGGAAGAACCTGGCGGTAGCAGTCTGAGTCCCTTGTCATCATCAACTAAAGAGTGATTAAAAAATTATTGTAGTTCTCTCATTCAAGTTATGTTGGCGGAACTTTCTGCTTGTATTATCTCTTTATGTTAACGACAGTCTTTTTATTTACAGATTTCCTGATGCTGAAACAGCATCTGCTATAGTCGAGCTTGGATGTAAGCACATTTGCAAAAATGTAAATGAATCCCATGTGGACAGAGCCAATAAAATAGTTACTACCTGTGCTTTCATGTGCAAGGCTCCTCTGCATGAAATCTTTGATGGAATTGGAACAATGGTACAAGAAGTCCTGAAACTTGCATGATTGGAAGCATACAGACTTCTACAAGGAAATCAATTTAGCTGAGCATGAGCATTTAGCTTCCTTTGATTGTAGTAATAAAATAATGCAACAACTAAACGTCACAGTCTTGGTTTGTTGTTTGGTTTGGTTTTAAATCTGTACATCAAATGGTTATTCCTAATTTTATCCTATTTATTTCTCTTTTAAAATAGAAAACGTGTTGAAGGTTGTTGCGTGTGTGGGCGTCAGCATTTTTTTTCTCATGAATCTGAATGTATTCAGTGTTGATGAGACAGTCCTTCTTGGAGAGGGACTTTTTGCAAGGACATGTAGTGACAGGACAAGAGGAAATGGCTTTAAACTGAAAGAGGGTGGATTTAGATATTATGTAGTTCTTCACTGTGAGGGTGGTGAGGCACTGGAAGAGGTTGCCTAGAGAAGTTGTGGCTGCCCCATCCCTGTCAGTGTTCAAAGCCAGGTTGGATGGGGCTTTGAGCAACTAGGTCTAGTAGAAAGTGTCCCTGCCCATTGCAGAGGAGTTGGAACTAGATGAACTTTAAGGTCCCTTCCAACCCAAACCATCCTGTGATTCTATGATAATGTAGGAACCCTCCTTGCCCAGTGGGGTGATTATCAGTAGTTCACATTTGGTGTTACCAGCTATAATTACTGCTGAAATAGCTCTGTATGAGTCTGTATGCCTTCAGTATAGGTTGAGTAATTAAATTCTACTTCCGAATCAGAAGGGGATTAAAGAATGCAAGTCTTTAAGCACATATAACTAAAGGACTTAAATTTATAAACCAAGAATCAGAGGCTTAAGTACAAATTAATACGTTGTTTGTGGAAAACACACAAGTTTTGCTCTAATAAATGACATTACTTGAGGTTTAGTTGGTAAAATGAACTAGCTTTGTTTTATGATATTTTTCATGCATAGTTTAGTGCCCTAAGGAGAGTACACTTTACATATGCTAGAACACTTGTTTCGATCTCACAAATGTGAACAAAGGATGGCCAGCCTTTCTAATAAGCACAATCTGGCAAGGTTTTGTACTCGTGAAGAAACTAGAAATTCCCAGAATTCATTATCAAGGTAAGCTGAGAGTCACTGTGGACACTTAATTATCTCAGCATAAGAAGTGGTAAAATGCTCGCAGATCTCTGTCACTACTCACAGCAAGTGTACTGCAGTCCATGCTTTGCAGTGCCTGAAGTAGTCTAAATGTCATCACTAGTGCTAATCGTGTCTTGTTGAGTGAAGGCCTGGAGTGGGAATACAGGAACAAATCTGTACTGCAGAGCAGCCAAAAGACTAGGAAACAGTCTACTTATGATGAGGAGTGTCGAGTTGTGCCTCTTGGTCAGCAGCTGGCATGGTCAGGAAGGGCATTAATCTTTACCTCATCAGCACGATTCCTGATGTTGCAGAGCATTGAGTGCTACTACTTTCTATGTGTGCCATGTTTATTTTAGCACAAACATCGAAGTTCCGACATAACTGATGGCATTTTCAAGGAGGCTTTAGAGTGAAATCTACAGAAATAAATATATAAAGGCTTTTATTCTCTGTTCTTCTCACAGGGATGTTTCTCATGGACACAGCATTTCTATACTCCTCTGGAAATTCCTTTATGGAGTTATTTAGCAGAAGCAAAACATATACACGCTTTTGTTAGAGGAGCAGGGACGTTTTTGTGTCATGCACAAGCAGTCCTCTGCCTCAAGAGGTATAAAGATAATTGAAGAGCCACCAATCATGGCAGCAGAGGATCTTCTATTCAGCCTGAGCTGTGCACATAATCACTAAAGTACTTACTCAAAACGCACAGTATCTGACTGAGTGTGGCTCTTGGGTTATAGGACTCCTATTCGAAAGTGCTTGAGTCACTAAATAAGAGTTTGTCCTGAATTTTGACTGCTTTGTGAACATTGTCTTGCTGTTGGCTTAAGCATTCAAAGGAAGCGCAGCTTCTCCAAAAGATCTCTAGCTGACTGTCCTGTTAAAAATGTACTTAACACAGAACAGTCCTCTACTTTTTCCAGATTGTACACTGTCTCTATAATGCCTTCTGTGGCTTCTGCAGGCAGGATGCTGGAGGCATTGGATTGAAATTTTTTCTCCAAGTCCTCCTTTTTCAGAGGTTTCCTCCAGTGCCCATAGAATGTATCACAGCGGTTGCTGATCGTGTTGCCATCCTGAAGCATGACACTCACTTCGCAGTAAAGACTCTCAAAGCTAGGTGTGTTATCAGGAGGGTGCTCCAGCTGCGTTTTGCAGAGGAGCTCCCGCAAGGCCGGACGGTGAATGTTCTCACTGGTGAAGGACTGGACCGACACGCTGCCATCCAGCAAAGCAGAGCATGCAACAAACTGGAAGGAGTGTCGAGCTTCATGCTCTGAGGTAGGGCTGGGTCTGTTCACATATTTGACCTCTGGGACTCTGAGAATGACTTTCTCAATTTTATCAAGGTGGAGCAAGTTGTTGCTCTCCACAAGCTTCCTCCTAACAGAAGATGCTGCATCAGCCACCCAGTGTGTTCCAAGGTGAGCAGGAAAGCGTTTGATGGCGACGTCTTGCTGGTCCAACAGCCAGGGATAGGACTGCAAGGTTGGCAGAGTCTGTGGGTTGTAATCTGTATAAAAGGCACCTATCCCCGACTCCATGTCCAAGATCTGCTTGTTTCCTTGAAGGCCCTGTGATGCTAAGCAAGCTGCTTCCAGTCCATGCTTGGCAGCATTGCCAACATGGAGGGGCTTCGTTTGGGTTGCTGCATTAGCCAGTGGGGCACCTGCATAGGAGGCAGCGATAGCCAAGGCGTTTTTACATTGCATCTGGTCAAGAGCTAGCAGTTTAGCACAAGCTGCTGCACTCCCCATTGTACCAACCACAGTCGGTGGGTGAAACCTGAGAAAACAAAAATATCTTCATTACCATATTTCAAAAAGTCACCTGAACTCACTATATACACAAACTCCAATTTCCTAGCACTGCTTTGAAAGACAGATTGGACCATAAGGAAACACACTCAAAATTCATGTGTGGTCCTAGTGGAAAAAGTTGTTGCTTTTCCCCAGGAACAAGTTAAACTGGAATAGTTCTACTTCCAATAGTTCTTCCTCAGAAAGCAATTAAAACTTTAGAACTGCTCATAATTCGAGGCACTCCAAGCAGAATAATGGCAAAAGCATCACAGTTATTGTCATCTATAAATTACATGTATTGGGGGAGGCGAGTTTTGTCATTCTGATCTAGTTTTGCAAAACTGATAGAAGGAACACACAGAAAATAGCAAGAAGACATCTAGTCCATCCCATGCTTCAAGGCTTTCTCCTAAGCACACCCCTTCCTCCTGGGCTCTCCTCTGAGCCCAGCTCTGATGGATCCCTTCTGCTGAGAGCAAGGCATTGTTTGCAAGTGTGGCATGACTGTATGTATTCATGAGAGCCTGAAACCTCTGCTGTTAATCGTTGCCCTTTTGCTGCTTTTTTTAGTAGCTAGGGAGATCATCACCTACTTCTTGTAAACTGCTCAATGCCCTCATAAAGAAAGCTATTAGCTAAGTTGTAAGGAGTCGTGTAAGTGCATTTATCTTTAAGATGAACCTTTTTTAACTTTCCAGAGAAACAACATAGAAAATATGAATAACTATGCCATCTGTATTTTAACTGGCATTTAATTAAGTATATTAACACTGAGAAAATAAACTCCTTCCACTCAGCTTCCTACTTGAAGCATTTCTATGTACCTTTTTGGGATATTTCTGGCTTCACTGGAGAAGTGCAGCAGCCGGCCTTGCACTTCGATTCCCACATTGAAAGCTAAGAGCAGATCGAGACCTGAGGTTTTTTTCTTCTGAGGAAAGGCCTCCGAGAGTGCAATCACAGCAGGAAGCACAGCCCCAGATGGGTGTGTGGCAGGATGCCACGTGTCGTCAAAATCCATTGAGTGCACCTAATGGAAAGAGAAGCCTTGATGTGTCATCAGAAATAAACTCTGAATTGGCAAGATTGGCGCAGTCAAATGAAACTACTGTAATCAGTATAAAAAAGGACTGAAGAACTAAATTTTCCTTAGAAAGCAAAACTTCAGAAGTCCTACTTTCAAAGACCTTTACTCCCAACATGGCTCCATGAGAAGTGGCAATGCAATACAAATCTTGCCTCAAAGGATTGTAATTCTAATTCAAGTTGTAGCAGTCTAAAACCAGTATGACAATGATTCATCTTTCCTTCAATAGGCTTTTTCTGCTTTAATTAGACTGGTATAATTAAAGCAGTGGTTCTAGGTCCACCATATGAATGGTTAATTTTCAATTCCCCCAGAACAGTACATAAACATGTTAAAACTACTTCCTCAGTGCTGCAACTGATACTGCCATTAGGGGTCACACAATTAAAGCTGTAGCAGCCTAGTCCATACTGCTAACTCCGAGTTACACCATCAGAGCAGCTTCTTCAGTGCAACCATCCACAGGCAACAGGTACAAGCCTGCAAACGTACATGAGGCTATTGCCTGATTTCTCAGCACGTCACACGAGGAACCAGACTCTCTGGGGTTGCTAGGACTAGGAGAATGCTAGTCTTAAAACTGGGAAAAGCTGTTTAGTCCTTGAGAGTATCCAGAGAGGTGCCTCCTCTCTCCCACGCCCAGAGCCCAGCTGGCAGGAAGATTTTGGGTATTCCCAGCATGGTAGGAGAATACTCCCAGCAGTGCAGTCAATGTTTGCAATATACTGCTTGACGGACCCCCAGACCTCCCCCCAAAGTTTTGAGAAACCCCAAGGACTTGAGAGCATCAGAGGCAGCACTTCTAATAACATAGTAATGCCTCAAAAGCTGAACTTTCACGCCTGTTCACTCATGTCTTAATTCGGAGCAACTGGGAAGGTGGTCAGGTTCCCCAGCGCTCAGGTCTTGCCCCATAATACAGGGGATATGCACTTCTGAGGACTGAGGAACAGGCAGAAGAAAACACAGTCTCTGCCTTGAGAAAATTTGATTCCAGCTGGAAAGATGCCCTGCAGTGTGGGATAAGGAAAGTTGTGCCCAATACCCAGTAAGCTATGTTCCTGGCATCTTCAATAAGCACTTAGAATCGACCTGTGACCGAGACATAAACTGAAAAGTAAACACATGCTAAATGCCAGATTTGAATGTCACATGGGCTTCTAGGAGCTGAGAGGCTCCAGATCTCATTTCCAAGGTAATTCTCTCTACATTGGAAATGAGGTGTCAAACTGCACCTCTGATCTTGTCACACTAATTCAGATAGGCTTAATATTACCATTTCCATGGTTGGTCACCTTCCCTAGTTTTGCATAATTGCCAAATTTGTCTACTCCACCTCTTGTGCATCTTTCAATTTCAAATGGTTTCAACCTCAATCTGAATTTAGGCAAATGTCTGAGGAAACAGTTATTGCTTTAATGACAGTGTATGTGTCCAAAATACATAATTGGCTTTTGCAAACTGCATAACTGAAGATTAAATTGCCTTGTGATATTATATGTGTGTATGTATATGTGCATCTGTCTGTGTTTTTCTGTAACTATACTTTGCCAGCTGGCATGAAATTTGCATCCCAGTGAAATCAGCCAGAGCTAAGAGTATCTCTTTATAATACAGCTATACCAAGGTTGTAAACAAGCTCTAGAGTTCCGACCTTTGAAAACAGCTTCAAGTCCCACATTAAAGGTAAGGTGTGCTGTTGAGCTGGCTCAGATATATATTATACTTAGAGCTCAGTCTCATTGGGAGAAAGCTGAGAGACATTAGGAGAACAGTCTAGGAAGGTTTTATAGCAGGCTTCAGGCAGAAGAATAAAGTAAACTAAGATTGTAGGAGCTTTCTGTTCTCTCTAGAGCAAGAATGGCATCAGTTACTGTGATTTAAGAGCAAACAAAAGAGCATCCCTTACAGCCACTCCATTCACAAAAGCTGCATACAGAGGAGGCAGACGGAAATCCAAGTGGCCCCAGATGGTACTGGATATATCTGAGCTGTAGATCTGAAACAAATTGGCATAAATTAATTCAAAGTTCTGAACCCAAGGATAAATGTGTGCCATATCTCTAATGTAACTGAGATCAGACCGTACCCTCTCGGGACCCAACTGTTCCCTTTTATGAGAAAAGTACTGTTCTTCCAGAAAGTATGAAAGGAAACTCGCTTTCCTGTTGGCTTATGTCCCTTTCCACCCAAACAGACCTCAGGGGCCAGACCAACACCATGCACCTGGCCACTCAATACCTTCACATAACCTTTGGCCATTGGTATCCCTTCCCACAGCCTATCAGCAATTGGTACTGCGAAGATGGTCTCAATACCATCATCATCTTGTTGGGGAAGATCTCCAAGGTAAAGGTTCTGGTTTCTACTTTTAATAAGACCCCGAGTAAATGATATACATCTTCCTGGTGCAAGTAGCCCCAAGCTCCTTTCCTTTTGCTGTGCAAATCTTTGTAGCCAAAAAATAGATTTTACAGAATTAAATAAAACAAAACACCCACAGTTTGGGAAGTGGCGATCTCTGTGCAAAGGGATTCACAGAACTCTGGAGCCTGAGTCCAAGTGGGCAAGTCTGACCAACAAAACAGTAGCTTAAATTCATCCTCATGTGCTCCTGTGTTGGGAGGACTTCTCCTCAATATCAAGTACTGCTCTAGTTTATGGAGAGCAGGACTGGAGGAGAAACATGACCAAGGTACCCCAGACAACAGTATTTTGGGAAGTAACCCACTGCTAACTCTCCATCCCATTAATAGTCTTCCTATTTCTGAAAGCTGGTGATGATATTTACTTTGCTGATGTTTTTAATAAAATCTTATAGGTGAAATAAAGGAAAAATTCTTAATTATCTGTGCTTGCAGGGGGTTATCTTAACATATAGTCTGTTACATAGACTTCTGCCCATCCACAGTTAAATGTAACTTGAGCAATTAAGTTTCCCTGGGTGAAGTGGGAAGAACCCTGTGTCTCTCTTTCCATCCCTCAAAGAATTTCACCACGACAAAGTTTCCCCTTATAGCCCAAATTTTCACTTACTGTCCTTCAATCTGAACTTTAGGGTATGCTATGAATGAATGCCAGGCATCTTACTTTGCTGTACTGTGTCACTTTGTGGCAGACCTCAGTGTTGGTACCCAGAAGCCCCACTCCAAGAGTATCCAGAATCATTCGCTTGCTTCTCTGAATGACTTGGTCTGTCAAGTGGTTCGCATTCAAACCATGAATCACATTGGCAAAATTTCCTGTAATTGTCTAAGAGGGGAAAAAAAAAAAAAAAAGGAAAGAAAGGAAAAGCTATTTCTCGTCATTTAAAGAAAACACTTTTTTTTTCTTCTTTTTTTTTTTTTTTTCCTCCTTCTTTCAGTTTCAGACTACTGCTCAGTACTGGCTATTTCTGTTGCCTTACCCATGCTTACATGAATTGCATCAGCAAAACTAACGTTTGAATTCTTCCTCTTTTTATTCCCAGAAATGTCACAGTGTTATTTATATTTTATTTATACTTTCATCAGTGTTTGTTCTGTATTTCTGCTGCTTCCTCCTTGAGTCCTTGAGGGTAAGCACTACAGGTGATGTAACTTTGCAAGATACCCTCATCTCCACCTCTATGCATATACACACATACATAAAACAAATAGAAGCAAAACCTGCATGGCTTTCTATAGCACCTTCTTATTGCTGTTGAAATCAGTGGAAAAGTAGCATTTCAATCCCGTACAGCTACTGTCACACAAGGAGGAAAGATTTAATCTCCCTGAGTAGCAGAATTACTTTCCCAAATCTTGCTGAGCTTGGAGCTCAGTAGGACTGGCAACTCTGCGTTGCACCTGCTGCTCCCAGTTCTCACTGAATTCATGCTCAGCTGGGGTCCCAGCTTTTTCCAAGACAAGATCTCATCTCTTTGAAAAGCAGTGGCTCCTTGTTCCTGTCTTCTGCTGATCTGGGAATTATATTTCTAATTTTTTTTTCCTCTTTGCTTTCCTATTGAGCTTGACCCATTATGCAAGTTCAGCCTGCTTCTTGGCTGGAGCTGTTAGCTGCCATTAATACATCTGTTAGAGACTAATCTAGAACTTCCCTTCTCTGACCATTGGAAACATCCCCATATAGAGGTATATATTATTTACAACTAGTCTACACACACATTTGCTTTTTTTATATTGGTATTACTGAACATAGCTCTTCTCTCTTTTTGGAAATTGTCTCCTTCCATTTCCCTTCCTCCTTCCCCTTCTTCTACTCCCCTGCACATATCCACACAAGGCAGTATTTCCTCTTGGCCTTCATTTTGCTAAGGTAAACAAACCAAACAATGCTGCTTTCTCCTTTATAAGTAGACTCACTCCTGCTATGCTGGTAGCTTTTCAGTGCGTTGTTGGATTTCTAGTCTGTAGCGATGGTGACCAGAATTGTACCCATTATTTCAGACAAGTTCTCACTCAGCTTTGTACTAAAGCATTAAGACTATCTTGAGGAACACAAGTCATTTAAAGGGGGTGAACCACATATCCCATGGTGTAGTTTCCTAAACCACAGAAAGTGAGGATACAAAAGCTTGAACAGAAAAGTGCATCTTACAGTGTAAAGAAACAAGACAGTAAGTACCTTTGCCCACATCATGGAGGGATGGTGCAAGGTCCCAGGGAGATGCAGCAAATGAGCAGCAGCCAGTAAGGGAAATAATTCTCTCACTATTTATATGGGTAAGTATAGGGTGGGGAAAGAAATATTGGGCCTTTTTTTTTTGCTCATCTTGTCCTGCCCATTTCCTCCTCTGCCTGGAAATGTTCCTTTTTCTTCTTTCTTTCAACTTTCCTCTAACTGTACCATAAACTGCTGGGACATGTGTGACTTTGCCAGTCACGTTCACATGTTGTGTAAATTGACATGTGTGATATTTTATTACCAGATAGAAACCAATATATTGAATATCTTACATTTGTTAGTATGGAAAGAAAAGGTCATCAAGTGTGTCAGGCTAACTTTGAGGACCCACAGTAGTCCATGGATAACTCTACTGGTTGGGTGAGCAATCAGCCCAGTACTAGACTACAGGATGGCAGGAGCTGTTTTAAGTTAAACGATCTGTTGTTTTGTGTTTTTCTTCCTTCACTATATGTCTCCTCTATAATACGTAGAATTCAGACATGGGAAATGTGTGCCATAAGAACTTCAGAACATAAGCTGTATTAAGGCAGCTCTTGGGACTTGGACTAGATGACCTTTGAAGGTTCCTTCCAACCCATACTTTTCTATAATTCTATTATTCTATAATTCTTGGCATTCAATAGTGTTTTAACAGCATGAATCACTATGTGAGGCCATAATTTCTACTAGCAGGTTTTCTGCATCTCAGTCAAGGTTCTTTTCTCTGAAGAAGGAGGTGATTCTCCCACCACCAGTTTAGGGATCTGGGGGAATCCCAGACTACAACAAGATAGTGAGTCAGAAATCCCTGCCCATCCCATCATGAAGAGAGCAGATCCCAGAGGAGCAGGAGTAGAGGCCACTGAGTAATTCTGAAGTGAAAAAGTAATGTATTTCTGAAGTTTGGGTACCTCCTGGATTAGGGGACAAAGCATCAAGTCTTTTTAGGATTGCAGTCTTGTGCTTCCATGCTAAAGCACTGCCTAAAACTTACTGTAGGAACCTCAGCCCTTTACTCAGCCTACCCTCAAATAATTTTCTAAAGCTGTATCTAACTCCTGAGCGCTTCCAGGTAGAGACCAGCATAGGTCTATAGGTGAAGTTAAACACTGATTTGAGTGGCTCTTATTAATACTAACAGGTCCTGTTTCAGGCTGCATCCTTTCCTGTCTCTGGTCATAGTCCTCTTCATCCTCCTCGTGCCAGTGCTAATGCTGAGCAGAGCCTTTTCTGAGCTGACCCAGCCTGTCTCCAGAGCCAGCTCAGGGATTCTCAGCTGCCAGGCAAAACTGAGTTTCCTGCCTCAGAAATGCAAAATTAAATCTAGCAGCAGATGTGGAGGGAGACAGAAGTAGGGCTAGCAGTATTCTGTGAAATTCTGGGAGGGCACAAGCAGGTAAAAAGAGATGAGAGGGCATCAGCTGTTCTTGAGCAAGCTCTAACCCAGACATTTACCTATTTTGCCTGTGCCTTGAGCCAGCTCTGCTTGTGGATGCCATCTTTGGGTGCTAACTTGATGCTGAAAATTGCACTGGTTAAGTTTAAGAGTGCCTTAAATGATAGAAGCAGTGATGTGTCTTTTCTCAGATTTAGCCAAAGAGGCTGAGGTCCAGGACTCTTTTAAAACCCAGCCCTACAAACACACACTTTTGTACGGTCTAACCTGCATTATGTGTAGGCTCCATTTAAAATCTTGTCCTGTCCTTCTCTTCAGTATGAGCAGCTGTTCAGCGTGGCTACTAAACCTCTTCCCACACACACTTCTTTTTGAGTATACCACAGCTTCCTCACTCACGTATGCATAACCTGCGTCTACATTCAATATCCAAGCAGCATTTGCTAGTTCATGGATGAGATGTGCATTTTGGCCAAATCCTGACCCCATAGGGAGACAGAACCAGAATGTTTATCAATGCATCTTCCTTTCTCCCTCATATCCACACTAAGGAGAACCTCACAGGTAGCCTGGATGTACTGAAGGTTACCTTTGGTGCTGATAAAATCCAGCCCAGCTAGGAGGACTACTCACATAGACAAGTTTGGCAATAGTTAGAAAGGTTAATAGAAGTTAACACTTTAAGTCTCAAGAAGGGAAACGTCTTCTTAGCTTATGCTTTTGTTCTTCCCTCCAGAAAATGGAAGAAAATATCTAAATCACAGAATGAGAGATTCACAGAGTGGCTGAGGTTGGAAAAGACCATCTGGTCCAACCTGAGTGCTCTAGCAGAGCTACACAAAGCAAGCTGTCCAGCACTGTGTCCAGTTGGGTTTTGAATATCTCTGAGGATGGAGACTCCACAGCCTCTCTGGGAAACTTGTGACACTGTTTGACCACCAAAAAATTGCATATTCAAACCCTAAAGTCAGTCCTCTTTCAGTCATTTTCTTTCTTTACCTTTGGGATGTCAGTTACAGTCCCATTCTGTTTCTCCTTTCTTTCTCAAGTGAGACTGAAGTGAAAATTTTAATATCTTCTGGATTCCTCTGTGCTTCTGGATGGCACAAAGGGGATACAACAGCCCCACAGCCAGTTAAGGAGAATTTTCCTCACATAAGAAACAATGTGGGATCCTTTTCATTTCCCCTGACAACTCCAATGGATGGAACAGTGAAGACAGCTTAACGCCTGAAAAGCATGAGAAACTATGCAGTAATGCAATTCCTGATTGATTTATTGTTTTAATGACTGCTCTAATACAGCTGGCATTATACTGGAAAGCCCACAATCAGAATGGGGCAAAAATGAACCATAACCCTTTTTATTTCTAGAAGGCACAGTGTAGTGTCAGGCTGTAGGACTGTGTCCTCAGCCTTCATTATGCCTCAAAACAAGGTCCATACAACAGCTTATAGTTTACAATG